CTCCGTCACCGCGAAGCCCGTCTGCTCCCGAGCGTCTGCCACTTGGTTCATCGTCTCCGTGCTCTCATCCCGCGCGGCGCCGTGCCTCTCCGAGGCCGCCGAGCACAAGCCGTCGTCCACATGTGCGTAGACCGCATTGACCCCCGGCTTCATGCGCGCTGCGCCTCCCCTGCAGCGCTGCTCACTCAACAAGAAGAGCCCCGCCTTCTCGCGCTCCACGATCCGCCTCGAACGTCTAGGTCGTTCGCGTTCCGAACGCAGCCCCCCCCCCCCCCCAGGGCCCCCTTCCGGGCGCCCGGCAGTCGACGCGCCGCCCTGGCCGCGTTCAGCGCGATCATGCGGCGCAGCCGTGGGGGATAGGCCTGGGGGCATCTCGACCTGAAGATGCCGAACTTGTTTTTTCCGCATGCTCACTCATGCATGTGCTTGCCATCGCAATGGAGGGGGTGAGCGCCTATTCCGCCCAGGTTGGAGGCCAAAGATGCCGGCTGCTGAGACGGGCCCCCGCGCGTGCTCTGATCCACCTTCACCGACTCCAGCCCGCGCCTGTCCAGCATGCCCCTGACCGCGTCGAAGCCCCAGATGCCGGGCATGGGCTCGACCCCCGGGTCGGACGGGCGCTCGCGCGCGCGCCCCCCCCCCCCCCCCCCCGCGCCTCTCGACGAGGTCGCGCGACGCCAGGAAGATGAACAGCAGCGCGTTGGCCATCTTCATTTGTTTCCTCTCGGCCCCCGGCAGGTCGGTCCGTCCGAGAGGGGGGCGGCGAACGCGAAGAGGCCTGGGCCCGCCTGACTGGAAGCGAGCCCGACTCCGCGCAGCACGAGGCGGGGCCCCGAACGCAATGTCCACCATGCCCTCCTGTAGCATCTCGTGGCATGGCGATCAGCAAGGGGCCCGCCAGGCGCCGGCGGCGGTCGCAAGCCAGAGCCGCACCAAAGAAGAAGAGAGGCACCCCGCACTCGAGAGCGAACTCCTCAACGTAGTGCTGAACGTCCAACCTTCTCCTGCCCCCAGCGAGCGCGTGTATGGCCGCGATAACTCCACGCCGCTCTCCCTCCAGAAAGCGCACCTTCTCTCGAAACCCCATCCAGCGACAGTTCTGCTCCTTCTCGATTCTCCAACTTAGCCGTGGCCTCCGCCGATAACCATTCCGCGCCCTCACCTGCCGCATCTCCCGGCGCGCCCAGCCCCCGGCCTCGCGGCGCGCGGCGCCGCCGCCCAGCGCTGTGGACCTCACTGAAGCCCCCCCCGCGGCCACCAGGTTGATGCCCATCAGGATGCGCGCCGCCCGAGACAGACCCGCGGGCGGCTGCGCGTTGCACGGGCATGCCAGGTCCCACTCCTGAAGCTCAGCTCTCAGCGCAGGGCCCAGCTGCCCCCGCGACAGGGTGGCGGAGAGCGCTGGGGCGGCCGCCCAGGGCCACATCCACTCGGGCATGGTGACCGAGGAGAACACGTTGCTCTCATCGCATCTGGTCATCTGCAGCTCCACCCCTGGCGCTCGCATCGCAGTCAGCGCCCCCCCCCAGCCCGTGGTCTGCCCGACGCCGAACGTCACTCCACGGGGAATTCGTAGGCGCAACCATAATGAACTTCCTCAACCTGAAACCATTCCTCGTCAAAACAGGTGACACCGCATTGATTGTCTTGGCCTCGCCCCTCCTCGCGAAAGTCCACAAGTTCCCAGGGCTGTCTCTCCGGTGAAGATATTCCATCCACTGCTCCAGTCGGCCTCCAAAGAAGCCGAACTGCCCCTCCAGCTCCTCCACCTGCACCGTGGACTTGCCGGCGAGGTCGATCGCGCCCCCCCCCCCCCCCCAGCTGTAGCGCCCCGCCTCTTCCGGCGTCGGCGCCTCCAAGGGTGGGGCCCCCTTGGTCGCCATCACCTCGCCCACTCGACTCGCCGCGAAGTCCGAGCGCGCGCCCCTCTTGCGCGCCCTCCTGCAGCCAGTCTGGTCAAACTTCAAGAGCTCGCACGTCGCCTGCGCGCCTGTCGCTGGGAACAGCCAGCGAATGTAGAGCTGGTCTTTGGCCCTCGCCGCAGAGGGCCCCTGGGCCTGCCCGACAGCAGACTTCTCCGTCAAATGATCGCTGCACTTCTGCCGCCCCCGTGCAGCTTGCTTGGTCGTGGCCGGGTGCATGACGTTCAGGGTCCTCGGCATGTTGTTGGCCGTCCGAATCACCTCATACTTCCGATGCAAACGTCTCCAACTCCTGCCCGAAAGCGCTGGCGCCCGACCTGGTCGGGGCAGCAACGCCACTGGCAGGACTGCTTCGTGGGCATCAAGAGCGGGGGCAACTTCGGGGAGCGGTGGGAACGTCGAGGGAGCTCCTACCACCGTTTCGTCATAGTGACCCTCACACTCGGCTACCCATCTTTCACCATGAGTCTTCCCCTCTGCCGCCGCTCAGGCCGAGCGCCGGGCTGCTCCCCCCTTCGCGGCTCCATGGGCAAAGCAGGAGGGGAGCGCCAACTTCCCTCCCTCCTCTTGCCGCCGTCGCCTCGCCCGCCGCCCTCGGGCCCCCCCTTTGAGTCGCCCATCGGGCCGCGACGCCGAAGTTCTGCTGCTGCTCGCTCGGACCTCTGGTGCCCCAGCAGCTTGCTGTGGGCAATCGCCTCGCTGACCAGCCGCGCGGGGGCGATGTCCACCCCGCTGTCCGGAGCCATGACAGCCCTGAGCTTCGCAGCCCCTACCTTGTCGCAAGTCCGAGCTGCGTGCGCATGCGCCGACCAGTGGCGCAGCCCGATCTCCACATTGTCGCTGCTGTTGAGGGCGGCCATCAGCTCGGCGCCCGTACTGCACTTCCCCAGCTCGAAATCCAGAGTGGCCGCTGTGGCCCACGAGGCCTGCCGCTGCTTTCCACCTCGGTAACCCTGATACTGTTGCTGAAGCCGATGCCTCACACTCGTGCCCCCGCCGGCCCTGATGTTCCGGTGGGTCTCGATCCCCGCCCGCTTGAAGTCAGGCGGGAGCGCGATGGCCCAGGCATCCACCTCCTGCCCGCCTGAGGCCGCAGGGCCGCCGAAGGAGCCCGAGAAGACAGCACTCTCCGCATTGATGTAGCCATCCAGCATCGCCCGCAGCGCGTCGACGTCTGGACGCCTTCGTCTCGCCACCGATGTAGCCTCTGGCGACCAGGGAGCTTCGCACCGCTGGGTCGCGCATCCCGCCAGCGTCCATCTGCGCAACACCCTGCCAGAAATGGACAGCCCACCACGGATTCATGGACGCGCTGCCGCTCATCTTCATCAGGAGCTCCTTCACCATCGTAGCGCTCTGCGCCGCCGTAGCGCCCGCCGCCAGACCGGGCCCTCCTTGGCAAGGGCCTGTCGCGACGGGAGCGGCAGGCACCATCGTGGGCCCAGCAGCCGTAGGACCCGCCGCCTCCGCCGGGGCTCCCGTCCAAAACAGGGGCCCGCTGTCCGCTGCCCCCGAGCCAAACGCGTGGAAGGCGTCCATGTTCGGGTCGGCGATGGGGGCGGGCGGCGCACTCGGCGAGGCGGCTCATGGTCCCACAGTTGGCGGCTGCACTGGGGGCGGCAGCGGCGGGAGGCCCGGAACTTCATCTCCACCTCCCGCGGTCGAGCCAGGCTCCCCGACGCTCGTCGCCGCCAGCTAGGCCCGCAGCTCCTCAATGGAAGTCTCTCGTCGAATGAAAGGGGTCCACCAGTTCGTCACGCAGCGGTACACGAGCCAAAGCTGGGCCACGAGGAAAAGCAGGAGTCCTCGGGCAAGACGTGTCACGCTACCTCGCCCTGTCTCTGCCCCGAGGGCCGAGAGACCGATCACCACTCCTGCTCCCGTCAGTACTCGTGGCCCCAGCCAGCGTGTGACGCCGTCGGTCATGGCTTCTCCGTCCCCAGGAGCGGGGACCATGTGTGGTGAGAACATATACTCTTCTGGGTGGTCACTGCATGCCGTGGCCCCTTAGGCTGTCATCGCTGCGATTGACTCCGGAACGGCTATGGAGTGACGCGTGCAGAAAGAGCTCATTGGACTAAACACTATACAATATACCCGTTCGAAAAACTCTCACTTCATCATGCATACATCCATGCACGCATGCATACATACATAAGCACATGTACACATACATACACAAACATTCATACATGCATGCGTGTAACCATACATGCATACATACATGCATGCATGCATGCATACATACATACGCACGTACGTAACATACATACATGCACATACCTACCTACCTACCTACCTACCTACATACATACATACATACATACATGTATTACATACGTCCATCCACCCATCCATCCATACATACATACATGCATGCAGGCATGCGTACATACATACATGTACATACATGTATACAAACATAAAAAAAACATACGCACACACATTCATACATACATGCATGCATACATGCATACATACACGCATACACACAATGCCTATATATATACATATTCATGTGTATACATATATATATACATATATATATATATATTTGTGTGTGTGTGTTGATGCTGACTCCTCAGGTGATTGTGTTTGAGCCTTGTCCAGGGGTCAATATGTTGAGGTAGAAGGCGTCCTGAAGCACACATCTCGGGTACAGCGAGACCTTCACGTAAAAACCTGGGCCTCAAGGGGCTCCGCTCGGGGCATCGAGCCCCGCGACAAGCATGGCCACTTGGGCCACCCGACTTGACGCCTCGCGCCGACCGAAGCGCGGTCACGTTGGCGCCCTCTCAAGTCGCCCCTCTGGAGAGAGACGGAGCCCTGGACCGAACCGCCAGGCACCGACATCTCCGAACCCTTGATCATCCACGGCGCGGGACCCGTCGGAGGAGATGAAAGTTGAACGCTCCAGCGGCCCGCGCTATCAGCAAGGCAGGATGCCGGATGGCTGGGCACGAGATCTGTAGGCACGCCTGATCGCGATGCCGACCGTCGCGCTCACAATGACTTGTCACACGCCGATCGCCGCGATTGCGATCGTGAGAGCGGCCACAAAGAAACTGAAGGGACGACGTGGTAGGCACCGTGGTGCACGAAGGTGTTGCGATCGCCTGGGGTGGGGTGGGGAGGGGAAGTGGGCCCAGTAGCAAGAACAATGAGCAAGCAAAGACGGTGATGGGGGAAGGGCAGCAAGAATCAGGACATGGATGGGGGGAGGACCAGGAGGCAGGAGGAGGAAGAGGAAGATTGGGGAGAGGGTCGGGGAACGGATTAAGAAGGGGTGTAGGAACGGATGGAAGTGGAGACGGAAGAATGCGATAATAGGCAAAACGAAGGTGATCATGATGCTGATGATGTTGATGTTCATGGTCTTTTGCCAACTCAATTTTGGAAGACGGAGGAGGACAGCTGAATGGACGAAGCGGACATAACCGATGGCCCGGCCCGCTGATGGCCTCTCGTGCTGTCAACTTTGAATGCACGTTCTTTGAGCCAATCTTCCACCTGAAGATCGCAGATGCGGCCATCAAGAAAAATAACGGTTTGGAGAAACATCTCTTCGGCAAGCGCCCACACAAAAAAACGATTGTCAGTAAGTTTACGCTGGGCGAAAACAACGGCTGCGGCAATATTCGTGGAGTACCAAAAAAGTATGGTTATTTTTGGTGTGATGGGCAGCGTCTGGGGTAAACATGTACAATGATAGCCCCGTAAGCAAGTCGCCGCCGACTGCCACACGACTGCGAACAGCGGCCGGACGCTTTGCTGCAAGTGCTCAGCTCGGGGCAAGAGGAGCAAGCTGATGATGATGATGATGATGAGGAGGAGGAGGAGGAGGAAGGGGAGGAAGGAGGAAGAAACGGAGTTGGAGGGGGAGGAGAAACATGAGGCCGGCAGCAACCCCACCTTGGTCAAGCGACACATACTGGGCCCCGCCCCAGGTGGTCTCTTGTGCTCGAGTGGGCGCCTCGTGAACTACGGCTCGCCGCTGTGGCCAGGCAGAAAAGAAGAGCGGGCAAAAAAGATAATGAGGGGGTGGGTACCCCTGCGGGGGAAAGAACTCCCCCGCCAAGAACATGCAGGCAGCAGAAACATGCATGGTTGACTATTGCACACACAATGGAAAAAAAAAAAAAAAAAAAAAAAAAAAAAAAAAAAAAAAAAAAAAAAAAAAAAAAAAAAAAAAAAAAAAAAAAAAAAAAAAAAAAAAAAAAACGAACACACAAACTATTCCGACGGTAGGACCCCGCACGAGAATATGCTTCACTTGCCCCTCGTTTTTTTCCATTCGCCTTGGCGGAGGTTGACTTCCCGCTCTGCTTTTACGCCGCCTCCTCCTCGTCATCTTCGCCCTCCATCTCCTCTTTCGTCTCGTCCGCCCCTCCTCCTCCCCCCCTTTTCCCCCCCTCCTTTCCCTCCTCCCTCGCAATCCTCCTCCGCATCTCCCTCGCCTCCTGGCACGGGCAAGTCGATTTTCCTTGGCGCCGTTGCCGCCGCGGTCGGCGTCGTCGCGTTGTTTGATGGCCGGGTCGCGAGGCCAAATAGGACAGCCCCGCGGGCGAGGCCGTTGGGACAACCCCGCGAGCCGCTGAAGCGCGGGAGCCAACCGTTGGGACAAATCCGCAGATCTCGAAATACTCGCGGCCGCGCTCAGGCTGGGGGCAGCACAAAACCCAGCTTTGCCGCGAACAGCTCCGCCTCAGCCCAACAAGTCGCAACCACTTTGTCGAACTCCCGCCGGCGGCACGCGTTCCACAAACTCTCCCGCAGGCGGCCTCGGGCCGCAGGGCCAGCATGTTCCGCATGCACGTGGCACGTTCCCCTCCGTCCCCCGAAAGAACTCCCCCCGTCGAGAAATTCTCCACCAAACTTCCTCCATACGCATGCCGGAAGAGCGGATGCCATGTTGTAGGTTTGCCGGCGGCCCGCTCGGATTTCAACAAGGAAATGAGGTTCCCATAGGGAGGATATCCCGGTCGAGACCTCTTCGCAACTCACTCACACACGAGGCTCTCGCCAGGGACGTCCTCATGATTCAAGGCTGAGGAACCCCAAAAAGCGATGACAAATACAGGGTTCGCATGATCCGCTCGGGTTGACAACATGAAGCGCGGGCCCCACACGGAGGGGGTTCCCGCTTGACAAATTATTGTGCTTCTCTCACACATGCGCCTCCCGCTTGATATTTCCCTCATGTTCAAGCCTTAAGAGTCCAAGAGTAAAGACTGATACAAGTGTCCGATGATTTGCAGGCCCCATAAAGGACTGGCTCCCGCCTGGGACTCCTTCGCAATTCACACGCAGTGGAGGCTCGCGTCTGGGACTCCCGCCACGTTCACGCCGCAGGATGACCCGCTCAGATTATTAACGTGCGGCCCCATGGGGAGGGGTTCCCCCTAGAGCCCTCCTCGCGCTTCACTCGCAGACCAAGCTTCTGACTGCTACTTCCTCCATATTAAATCTTCCGGAGCTTAAGAGCGACAAGGATTACAATTTTCGGATGACCCTCTCGGATTAACAACATGAGCTGCGGGCCCCGCTCGAGACGCCCTCGCAATCCACGCGCTGGCGAAGCTCCCCCGCCCAAGACTTCCTCAATATCCGATCCTGAGGAGCTCTGGTGATATGATGTATTGAAAGAGTGCGTGAGCGAATGATTGATCTATTGAGTGATTCAATATGATGATGGAGGTGGCGATGATGAAGATGATCGGTGGTCGATGGTGATGATGATGTTTATGATGACGCGGGTGATGAGGATGCTACTGGTGATGCAGATGATGATCGCGCTCACAATCGGAAGGTGGCCGAGGTGATGATAACGATGGCCAGGTGATTTTGATAGTGGTGATGATGGTGATGGAAAGATTGATACAGTTTGGTATGCGATGATGAATGTAGGAGGTGGGCGGGAGGACTGCGCGGGGTGCCCAGTGAAAACAAGAAACCCGCTTAGGATGTAAAGAGAACAGCGCCCCTGATTCCAAGATGCCGCATCGTTTTCGCCGCGCCCCCGTCGGCCTTCGTGACAGAATTCTTCGCGGGCGCCGAGAGCGCGACGGTCCAGCGGCGGGCATGGCGCCCCAAGGCGCTGCACGGCCGCCGCCGCGGATGTCGGGCTAAACCGCGGGGGGGGGGGGGCTATCGACAGTCGGCTGGCGCTCCAACTTCTTGGCCAGAAGCATCTTGAACTGCGCCCCCTGGTCCTGCCGCAGCGCGGCTCGGAGCTGTCGCGCAGCTTATTTCTGCCGGCCCAGTTGTTTGGCCCACCAGTTAAGATCGTCGTCGGCGCGGCGTGCCCCGTGGTTTTTGACGCCAGCTTCCTGCGGCGCATGGGCATGAGTCGCCTGCTTCCAGTTCGAAGCCCAGCAAGGGCGCCCGGGCGAGAGATGTCCCATCTGGGCACGCGGAACGCGCCAACTCTTGCGCACTCCGCGGGATATCCCACCTCCCGTTGGTCTCGACTTGAAACACCTGACGTCGCTGGCCAAACGTCCGCTGGGTCGTCGCCGACCCAAGAAAACCTCTCGATAGTGCGCCGTCGCTTTGATGTGACAGATTAGACGGGAGAGTTCAACATCTCGCTGCTCGGCCCACCTGGCGACGCAAGAGGAGAATGCACAGACGGCCCTGGGCAAGTCGCACCTAGCCAATCGAACGCCATGGAAAAACCTTCATCATCGCCATCGCCGCAGTGGGCCGAAGAACGCCGGGCGGTGCTGGCGGTCGCGGCTTCGGTGCGCCATCGCCTACCATCGGAGGCGCCCCAACCTCGGGCCCCGCGACCGCTGGTGCCGCCCGCTCTTCAATCCGCGAACATTCCGCAATCGCATCCTCAGTCGGGTGGGCGCCCTCGCCTCGGTGACCGCCCTTTCCGTTTGCAAGACTGCTCATCTCCGGGCCATATGGAATGCCCGCCAGCGGATCGGCGGCCGCGACGGCGTCGGCGCGTTCTGCGCACCGCGAAACGGAAGAGTTCAATAACTCTCCTATGTCGCATTCCATTCGGCCATGGCGAGGCCCGCTGGCGCGAGGTAGCATCAATAATAATCGTCCCCCATCGGGGCCTCGCGGCGCGGCATGCTCGTTAGTCTCGCTGCCGTCGCTTGGATCCCAGTCCGTGGAGTCGTGGCATCAATGCGTAGCCGCAGTCCGTGGGCCGTCGGACCCTTCGGGACTCTCAACGCGCAACCGGTCGCGGCCCGAGCTCCGCGGACCGCGCATCGCAGCCCAGAGTCGCGCGACGCGTCGCCGTTCCCCAGCGCGGCCCAAATGGCGCGGACGTCCTGAAGAGTCGCGCGCCGGCGTCGCATCGCGCCCAGACGCGTTGGCCCGGGGGCGCGGATCACGAGCGGTCGCAGTTGACAGGGGGCCCCCCGGCAGCCAAGACCGACCTGGGATCGCAGAGAAACCGATGTCAGCGGCAGCCGCGCCCGTTAGCTTTGGCTTCGCTACCTTAGGCGGGGGGGTCCCAACGCTGTCGGGGCCCGCGGCGAGTGCCAATCCGGCGGCCCCGAGCCTGCGATCTCACCAGAATTCACGGATCGATTCTCGGGGGTCTCCTCGAAAGTGTCTCGGGGAAGCGCGGGGCCACGATGCGCGGCGACGCCCGATGGGGCCGCGTCGACGTTCTCCTCGCGCTCAGATGAGATCCGTTTTCCAGAGCGGTGCCCACGCAGCGCCTGGGCGTCTGGAACTGCCGCGAAGCATTGGGCGCCTCCTGAGCCCCGTCGACCTCCTCGACGGGCAAAGACTTGCGCGTGACTTCAGCGTGGCGCTCCGCCGCGGACTGAGCGTCGGCGCCCAGGGTATCGCCGACCTCCTCGAAGCCCGTCTTAACTTGCAAGTTGCGCGCAATGTTGAACGCGCGGCGCTGCCGAGTCTTGAGCAGCTCGGACAACGGTGCCGCGATCTCGATCCAATCCTTGAGAATGCCCCGGCCCCCGCGGAAATCTCGGCGCGCCTCGACGGCGCCGCCCCGCCGCCCAAGATCTTGAACGACCGCGCGGGCGACGAAAACATCCGCGGGTTCTGCGCGGCCCGACGCCGCGGCAGCTGCTCGCGGCGCAGCGGCCCCCAATGGATGCGCGCTCTCTCTCCTCCAAGAATCCAAGAAGCCGTCGTCGTCGACGTCGGCGGCCCCGGCGCCGGCGGCATTAAAACCGGCCTTGGACAAGTGGACTGGGTCCTGCAACTGCTTCAAGAAGAACTTCCAGTGCCCCGCGGCGCCGCGCCCCCCCGCGTGCTCCAGCAGCCGCGCCTCGTTGCCGCGACCCCCCGCGGCCTCGCTCGACGCCGACCTGCAGTCGCGGCCCTGCTCAGCGCGGCGCCGCGCGCTGGCCAGCGTCGCGAATGCAAAGATCAAGCGCTGATTGCGCGGGGTCTGGAGCGCGGCGCGCCGATGCCGACGGCTCTCTGGGCGACCGGCCTCAGCGCCCAATCCTCGATGGCGATCCGAGCGGGGCCCGTCGACGCCGAGCTGCCGTCGCTGCCATCAGTGGGGCCCGGCTGCTGCTGGACCATCTGGGCGACCCCCCCCCCCCCCCAACGAAGATCTAGCTCGACGCCGAGCACGGTCGCCTCGAAAGAGCTCAGTCCGCAGCGGGGCCCTGTTCAGGGCCGCGCGCAAGGAGGCGCCAAAACGAATGAAGGAGGCCGCCCTGTTTGGAGCGCCCGCGCCCTCTCCTTCAAGCGGTCCCAGGGCTCCTCGCTGCTTGCTTTCAACCGCGGAGGCTCATGGCGCCCACTGCGCACGAGCCCCATCAAGCGCGGCTGGGGCACGCCGCGCGAACGCCGGGCGCGTTGCGGCCGTCGCGCGGCCATCGATCCGAACCAGCACGGCCTGCATCAAGTTTCGCCCGCCATCGTCGGCGCCTGGCCCCGGGGGAGATCCCGCGCGAGAAGCTGCGCGCAGAAGAGTTCCTTCTAGCCGTGTCGCGCCCGAGCCTTGACCCATCGCTGGCCCCAGCCGCGGCCGGGCGCGCCAGTCTGCCCAATCAGGGCGCGCAGTGGCCAGCTCGAAGAAGGACAGCCCTGCCCGCTGGGTCAGCGCGCGCGCCCGATTGTCTCGGCAGTCCCCCCGAGAACCGTCTTCTCGGCCCTCCACGCTTCCTTCCCCATCGGGACCCCCTGGTTAGGCCGCCATCTTGCACCGCTCCTTCTGTCGCCTCATGGCCTCGATCTCGGTCGGCGCGTCCTCGACGAGGCCGCGCCCCGGCTCATCTCCGCCGTCGCTGGCGCCCGCAGCCCCGCCGCCCGCGTCGCTGGCCCCGCGACCAACCTCGCGCAATGCGCGCGGGTGACCGATTTCCAAGGCGGCTCTCTGCCAGGGCCGGGCCCCCCCCCCACCCCGCCCGATCCCCCCCCCCCCAGGAAGAGCTCTGGCACGCAAAAACCACTCCCCAGAGAAAGGATCTTGCATGCCAGACCCAAGCCCAGGAGGGCCTGCGCCACCCTGGCCCACGGACCAGCCTGGTTACCATTCCTCCCCATGGCATCCTGCGGCGGCGCGTTGGCCCAAACGTTGTCGGGGCAGCCCAGCACGCCACTACTGAGGCACATCTTGCAAGGGGACGCTTGTTCCACGGCCGTCGAGAACTGCTCCCACTTGGTCGACTCGCCCGCGGAACCCAAGACGCATCGAGCGAGCTTCGATGGGAGATCCGCGGATCCAACGAAGTCCTCGAAGAAGGACTGCGCCGCCACAGAAGCGTCGGGCACTGGACCTTTGGTGCCACCCTTATTCTGCTGCACCCCCACCTTCGTGAGGCACGCTTCCAGAGCCGTCGCCGTCGACCAAAAGATCTAGCACGGGGGGGCGCCTGCGTCGTCGCGGCCAACTAGATGCTCGAATGCGCCCGCGACGTGGATCTCCCCCTCCTCGGTAACGCCATTCAGCAGCAATGCGCCCCGCCATGTTTTGACAATGTAGTCCGTGTCTGCGTGCGCGGTCAGCCCCGAAACATCCGCCAGGGCAGACTCGTCGATGCTGATGCGGACCAACAGACCGACTATGGTCGAACAGGGTCGCGGCCATCTGCATCTCCACTCGGGGTCGTTCACCAAAGCCGCGTTGAAACCGCCCCCGCTGGCCGCTGTCCTCACCAACGCCGCCAGTAGCTCTCGAGCGGCACCAGCGGGCGCTGCGGTCGCCAGTCCGCCATGGCGTGAACTTGCCCAAAGCCATTCGCACAACTTCTGAATCGAAGCGAAGTGCCGATATAAGTGAACGGCAAACAACGACACAGAAACGGCACATCGTGTTTGGTTTGCTCTCCGATACCGCCACGTCTGGAAAATATGATCGAATGGCAGAACATCTAGGAACAGTGGTGGCACTACCGAGGCAAAGACTTGGCTCCCCACTGCGAAAGCTGCCCGCCGCATGTCCTCATGTAGAGTACGGTGTGCACATCAGTTGCGGACCAGTGCATGCACGTACACGCGGAGCGGTGTTTCGTGAACGCGTACATGCGCATCAGGAGGAGGGCAGCGGCAGCGCCCAAGCGGAATCTACAAGTGACGAGGTTGTAGAAGCACAGATCCTGGCCCAAAAAACGCCATGACGGGCGTCGCCCCACCTGCCGACCAATACTGGATGAATTCGCTGACCAGAGGACGTGTAGACGACCGCGTGCTTCAAGCAGTCCTCGGGGCCGACCACTTACAATGGCTCGATCTCGCCATCCGCCCCAGGGCCAGCGGGATATTCGATCAGGCACGAGGTGGGGGGCGCCGTCGTCGCTGAAAACACGTTGCCGCGCGACTTTGAGTTCAACCTGCACCTAGTGCGACGTGCTTGCATTTAGTGACCGTCGTGCGACGGGGTTCCTTGACCTCATGGGGGCTTGGACGCTTTGCGCTTTCCAATTTGGGGGGCCCAGTGAACGCCCTCTGGAGCTGGCGCCCCAGGAAGCCGGAGTGACGCTCGAAAACTGTAAACGCACCGCATACGGCGCTCGAACCCCAACGACTGCAGCAGAAGAGGGATACGACGGGTGGGAGGGAGAGGAGGAAGAAGAACAATTTTCGGATAGATCACTTCGACATGATTACTTCGTGGAGCCCCGGGAAGAACAATCTCGACATAATTACGAAGAACCCTCGCAAGGACCAGAACTTCCCCCTGAAGTCCCAGAAAGGCCCTAAGATGGGCCCGTGAGCAGCCCGACAGGGCACCAAGAGGACCACCGACAGTGGCATCCACAAGGCCCGTGGCCTTCCGCGGCGCACGCTGCCGCGTGCGATAGCGGATGGGCCGGCACGCCCAAATCACGCGATGGTGGATGGGCTGCCACGCCCAAGCAGAAACCCAAACTATCGGATCTGACAGGGCGGACCTCCACACAGGTCGATCTCTACACTGGAGCTTGGCTGAGCCCCGAAGCACGGCAGGGTATGATTTGGCTGTGGCATGCCATTCATTGTCTCAGCGATCTGAGAGGGCACATCAAGCCAACATCCCCGGCGAGGTTCCCGATGCCGCGTCAACAAGAAATATCTTGTGTGTTTGTTCAGAGGCCTCGTCGGGACAAAATTTCCGCTGCATGTGACAAACTCTACGTGCAACATATTGTTCTCGATTGTTCGGTCGGTCGCACGGCCCCCGCGGTCCTGGGGCCAGGGCTTCTGGAGGCCAGTCAGGAAAAACCTCTGCACTGAAGGGGCTCTGAGCGCAGCGGATCGGGCCCCCGCCAACCAACAAAACGACACCAACAGACAACAAATCACACGAACCATCATCCATGGTCTCCGTTGATTCGACGTCAAGCCAAAAACTCCCGGCGGGGTTTCAAGGCCACGTCATGCCAAAATCCCCGGCGTTTTTGTTCCGAGGCCTCGTGGGCCCAAAATCTCGGCAGTATGTAAGAAGCTCCGAGTAAGCTCCGAGTGCAACGGGTTATCTCAATCGTTAGGTTGGCCGCCTGGACCACCACGGCCCTGGGGCCGAGGCCTCTTGAGGCCAAAATCGCCCGCTGCGCTTGAGAGGCTCGAAGTCCAGCGGACCGGGCCCCCGCCAACCGACGAAACGACACCAACGATCAACCAATCGCACAAACGACCATCCATGGCCTCTGTTCGATGATCCGGAGAAAGCATGCTAGCGCCAACGTGCGCTTGCCCGCCGAAGCCCTTTCATACGACGCGGGCGGTGCAGCAGTGGCCGGACACAGGCCGAGAAGGGAAACCACACACATTGGGCGAACACACGTCCTGAGGATCATGAATCTGTGATCTCAAAGGGCACGTCCGGCCAAAATCCCCAGCTGTATTTTGGAGGACACATTGGGCAAAAATCCCTAGCGAGGTTTCCGAGGCCACGTCAGGCCCAAATCCCCAGGTTTCTTCCGAGGCCTCGTCGGGCCTAAGTCTCCGCTGCACTTCTGGAGATCTGAGTGCAGCGCTTGTGCTCCGCAATGTGTGTTCGGTCGACTGGCCTCACGCGGCCCTGGGGCCAGGGCCTCTTGAGGCGAAAATGTCCTGCATCACGCAAGGGGCTCTGAGTACAGCGGACCAGGCGCCTGCAAACCAACGAGACGACACAGACCGACAACTAATCACACAAACGACCAACCCACAAAACGAAACGAACCCACACAACGACACCAACTACTGGAGTCCCGACTCGGGCGAGTTATGAAATTTAGCCGCTGAAGCGGGCCTTCAGATAATGGCCATGAGGCGCTGGATGGCAGGGCCCTGAAGGCCCCAGGAGGGCCTCAATGCGACCCCGAGCGCGTCCCCTCCAGAAAATCGGAGAAGGCCTTCCACAATGCTGCGCTGGGAGCATCTGGGAGCCGCCCTCCTCAGGCCCACCGACGACCCCCGCCAAGAGGAATATTTACAGCGCAGATCTGCCTCTTGGACTCTCTAAGGGCAAGATCTACGCCGTAGATGTTCCTCTTGGAACTCTTTTGGTGCCCTCCTGGGGCTAAAGCCCTCTGAGAGCCCGCTTGAGCCCTCTCGGACACTTCCCAGACGGCCTGGGCGGACCGTTCGGGGCCCCAAGACGGCTCCAAGAGGGCCCCAAAAAGGTTTCGAGAGGAGCCGAAACTAAGTGAAAAAACTAAATCTCCCACAATCGGGTCGCTTTGAACGTGCAATTCGACACTGAACACTGAACCTGCTTGGGATCTACTCGGAACCCTCTTGGGGGCCCCCTCGCGACATCCTAAGTCCCGCCTGAAGCGTGGAGAAATCCCCGAAGGGGCCCAGGACGGGCCCAAGAGGGCCCCAAACACGGCTCCAACTGTATCCTAAGATGACCCGCGACAGAGTTACATGGTGCAGCTGGCGCTGGGGTCCCAACTTGACTTTGGATTTTCCTAGGGTGAGCAGTCGGGGCCTCTTGGGTGGCCCTCGCGTGCCCCCTTGGGGCCTTGACGGGGCCTTCTCGGGGCTCCACGCGTGCCTGAAAAGGCAACGGGGGCTCTGTGGGGTTTCTCGACGAAACAATGTATCGAATACCTCCGGGGGGCACTCGGCAGCACTCCCAAACAAAACAACAAATCTAACATGTTCGGTAACCCGGGAACTTGGAAAACCGGCCGCCTGCGGAAATCGGCCGGTGGATGCTGCCGCCAACTCCCGCGACATCCAAGAAGACACATTCACCGCATTGCTCGGGGAAAAACTGTACACGTGGCCGCCCCACCTTCAACCCGTGTCACCGCCCGCCCAAGGGGGCTGGAGGACGGGCGAAACATGGAGGGCGCGGAGCAGAGAAAGGACAATATGGAAGAGGGTGACCGCATCAGGGAGGATGGAAGAGGGACGGGGAGCGGGAACGTGAAAGGCCAAGGGGGATGCGGAGCGCTGGAGGGGGAGAGGGACGATTCAATCAGCAAATTTTCGCCCATTTGCAAGGATACGGAATCTGATGCTTGACCTCCCCCCGTTCCCCGCCCCATCCTCCTCCCCCCCCACCCATCGCCTTGAATGGAACCCTGTGAACCAACTGACGAGCACTGGGGTTGAACGCGCGACAACCCGACCCAACCCTGGGATGGAAGCCTGGGAAATCAAGTGGCGAACGCCACGCTGAGCAACTCCCGCGCTGCCGTCGCCAAGCCGCCGCCCTCCTCCTTCCCCCCGCCCGCCCCATTCCCCGCCCTCGCCATTCTCCCCCTCTCCCCACCCGAAGCGGATGATATGAGAAGTGACGCAATGGACGATGAAGACGATGATGCCGCATGTTTTGCATTTCCAAGCGCGCAATTGGGGCTTTGGCGTGCCAGCCGAACCCCGACGTGCAGGCAGGTACCAGTGCTCTCCCTAGCGAGCGCAAGCGGGTCGAACAGAAGCGACCCTGGCGCCTGAACCCCAGGCGCGGATCTGCAACCCCAGCAGACGCCTGCCCCTGGACCATCTCCACCGCCGCCGCCTTCTTCGCGGCGAAGAATTTCGCGGCAGCCTTCTGGGGCTCCTCCTTGCTGGCGGTCTTGCGAGCCTCAACCAAGGCGCTCGAGGCCTGCGCCGAGTCCGCGGCCGCCAGCCGCCAGCCGCCACCCTCTTGCACCAGTCCTCGTGACATGTTGTCGGCGTGTTCCTTGAAGCGCTTGGCGCCTTCTTTCCCCGTTATCATCCCTAGCTCGCGCGGGCCAATCGCTGGGGCGTCGGTGAACGTCGCGCGGAAGTAGGCGGTCGGCCAACCACTCCTTGCGACCCTCGCCTCCCAGCTGCTTCTTCGGAGAAGCTGCTTCTTGTCCGTCGACTTGATGATGCCATTCATCTCGTCGGCATCCTCGCCCGCGAAGAGGAAGGAGATCTGCTGGACCTCGCTCCCAGGCCGGGTGGCGACGTAGCGCCCGCGCAATGCCCGCTGGCCTTGCCATTGGCGATGGCCGCGGCCTCGGGGGCGAGCTCCGAGCGGTTGCCGCTCTTCTCCGCGAGGCCGATGAGCGCGAGGACGCAGCGCGCCCACGAGCCCATCTCCGGCGTGAAGCGCGCGTCCTCCTCGAGCTGCGAAAGGAAGACGCTGGGCCGTTGCGCGCGAGGCCCGCGGCGTCGGCGGACGTCGGCTGTCTGTTGTCTACGATGCACTGGATCTTCATGTCATCGCCAGTCCGACTCTTGAGACGCGAACACGGGGCGCCGTTGGCGCCATGTCTCACCTGGTCTGCCCCCCGCCCCCATCCAGCGCTGCGCGCGCGCAGGCCAGGCGACGCCGATGGCGTTCTAGCGGCGCAGAATGAATGAGCCATGCGTCTGCCCCGCCAAGAACGGGGAGGCCAGGTGAGCCTGAGAACCGCGCGCGCTCGAGCGGTCGAGCCGCGGGCCCCCCGGCGACTGCGGTGCGAACGCAACCCAATGGGTGGACAGAGACTGGTGCGCAGACCACAACGAAACCAGATAATGCCTCGGGAGCGCCCTCGGACACGTGGCCGAACACCACTGATACTGACGCAAGGGAGCATGACATGGCGCACGATGCGTTCTTTCCAACTGTCCGATTCAGCCCCCGCCCACCCGGCCACCTGCTTCGCCTGCGTCTGCACCTCAGGTGACCTCGCAGAGTCGATGGGCTTCCCCGACGCGGTCTGCGTCGGCGCATTCACCTTCGGCTGCTTGGCAGCGGGCGCCGCGCCAGACGGAGAGGGCGCGCGCCCCGCCGATGCGCGACCGGCCACTCCTGGCGTGGAACGGCCGCGGACAACCTCCCGCAAAGGAAAGTGCAGGCCGAAACCCATATGGTTTGGACTTGGAAAGGAGGAGCGGAAAGGGGGCAAGTCGGGCGACGGCGCGCGATGGCCCTCCGACTGACAATGCCCTCTGCACTGCTCCCGCCGTCCTCCGCCTCCTCCGTGCTACCCCCGCCCCTTGTCCGCGCGCGCGCGAGCCCCGCCCCCCCTCGCCCTCGCCCGCCCGCGCGCGCGGCGGACCGGCAACTCGCGCGCCGGCGGCGCGCGACAGGCCGACCCCGCGTCGTCGGCGCGAGCGGCGCGCGACCGAGCGGCCCGTCGGCTCGCGGCGCCCCTGGCGGCGGGCTGAAACGCCCGCGGGGCGACCCCGAGCGGCGCGCGCGGCGCTGCGGCGCCGCCGGGGCGGGGCGGCATCGACCAACCGCGAAACCTCAAGCGACGGCACCCCGCAGGGCGAAAGCGAATGCAATGCATCGGTGCCGCGAAACCCTGTGCCTGGACGCCTGCAGCGACGATTCTGAACGCGCGCGGTTCGCGCGGCAAGGGGCGCGGCGTCGCGCCATCGCCAGCGCCGGACTCACAAGGTTGGAGCAATTCCTAGGGCGACTGCGCCAAACGCAAAACGCACGCGAGGTCTCCACGACCGAGAGGCGGCGCGACGGGCGCGCGGGTTCCCGCGCGGCCTTGGGCCCGGGAGGTCTTCCAACTAGCGCGCCAAAAAAATTGGCGGGAAAAGAACGCGCTGGAATAATGCTCAGGCCGCCTGGCAGCCCGACGCCGACGCGCCGGATCGCCGCGCGCGGCGCGAGCAGAGGCGCATCCGGCCCGGGCGGCCGCGGCGCGACCGCCGAAGCGAGAGAAGCTGGCGCCGTCATCCGCGCGGGCCAAGGGCCCCTTCGCGGCGACCACCCCGGCCGAAGGCGGAGTCCAGCCCGCCCCCCGCCCGCGGCCCGGTCTACTGCGCGCTGGGCGCGCGTGGCCTAGAGACCTCCCTGTCGTCGGCGGTCTGCCCAAGAGCCCCCCCCCACCTGGCCGCGACACCGCTCCGCCGCGCTGGCGAAGGACTCCCGCGAGTTGGCCTCGACCCGAACCAGAGCAGGTCCTCGGCGCACTCGCAAGGCAGCGCCGAACGGGCCCTCGGACTGGCCCCCCGGGTCGGGCACTACAGGAATGCGCATCTCTGGCCAGGAGGGGCGATGCCGCAGTCGACCCCGCGCCCGGAGCCCGCGCCCGAGTCCTCACCGTGGGCCGAGGGCCCAGGCACTGCTTCGCCAGCATCGCGTACCGGCGGATCACCACCATGTATTTTCACACCGCATCGGACCACTGGCGAGGTGGATGCGCCAGCACCGCTGCGAGCACCTTCACCAATATGAAGGACAACGCGGATATCGTCGCCGTCTGCGCCACGCGGCGACATCTGCTGACCATCGAGCGACCCCCCTCCCACGGAATCCCCCCCCGCGGATTCAGGGGCTCTTGCGAAACCAGGTCTCGCTGGCGTCGCGACCGCGGCAGGGTGGCCATTTTTTCTCCGGAGCAGTGAGTACACCCATCGACGCGGATGGCCCAGCCGACGAACCTGCACTCCAACTCCGCGTGCACTTGCCCTCTTCGCTGGCTCCCTGGGCCCGGTGGGTGGCTCCCTGTTCCCATCGACCGGGCAGCATCGAATCGAACGTCCTCTCATGCCGAACTCAAGGAACAACGAAACCCGCTGCTGCCCCCCATTCAGCGTCGATCATGCTGTGATCCCGAACCTCCTCATGTCCACCATGCTGATGATTGGCGCCCAGGGCTGCTGCTGCCTGGACGTACTTGCGTTTCGTGGCCTCCAACACCGCTGCCTCGGCGGTCTTGGCGGCATGGATCTCGACGGGGGCAGCATTGAAGGCATCCTGACGCTGGGCCAAGTCATCGCCTTCGACAGCTGTATGACGGCGTCATCTCCCTCTCCGCCATTTGCTGCGACATGTTCACCCCCGTCGTCTCCGCCTGGAGGGCCGCCACCATGGGGAGCAGCGGCAGGTTCAGCAGCATCGGCACGCATGGCCTCCACTGGCTGTGCTTGGAACCTCTTGAACGTTGCCAACGCTTCGGCTCTTTCCTGAAAGTTGGCCACCGAATCGTCGAGGGTCGCGCAGACGGCCTTGATCGGGTCGGTGAATTTTTCAACCTGAGCTTTGAGCAGCATGTCCTCCGCCCCGCTGAAGTCGGAACCGGACGAAACCAGAGGGTTGCCCACCTCCGTGAGATCATTCTCCAACTCCTCCTTCTGCACGCGGAGCGCCGAATCCTTTGCCTCCAGTTTTGTGTCCTTCGTCCGCAGGTTGCCCACCTTCCAGTGGACTGTTCTTGCCGAGGGGGCCGCCGTAACCTTCGCCTTCTCCTTCACAACCTCCAGGTAAGACGGACCTTTCCCGCCAGTGCTGGCGAACGCATGCTGACAGTTCCACGACGGCGGCAACACTCCCTCCAGCAGGGCCTCCACTGCCCATAAATATTCGATGATATTGGCCTGCGCGTCGCCAGAGCGTGGTGGCGCATTGGCCCAAGCCCCTCGCGGGCCACGCTGCCCAAGCCGCTCTGAAACACGCGCTTGCAAGCACAGCGCCACAATCGCCTGAACCAGAACGGCTACAAAGACAAGGAAGAAGGATGGAGGGGATGGGGCAAGAAGTGGTGCAGCAGGATAATGAACGCACGCTGCGGTCGCCGAAGAGCCGGGCGAACGGCGCGTAGTCGGGGCCTCGGATTCCAGGCCGTCGGTTGCGATGCGGTCGGGGCGTCGGGACTGTGGTCCAGCGCCCCCTTCCTGCTCATGCCCCTGCTCCAGACATGAGGATGAGAAAAAGGGAGGAAAGCTGGGCCACAATAGAGATGACAAGGAGGAAGCGGAGGAGGAGGAGGAGGAGGAGGAGGAGGAGGAGGAAGGGGGAAGAAAAGGAGGGTGAAAAGGGGGAGGTGGAGGAGGATGAGGAGGAAGGGGAGGAGGAGGCGGAGGAGGAAGAGGAGGAGGAGGACCAGTGAGAACCCAAGAGTCATCAACGGCATTGGAACTACCCCCCCCCCTCCAAGCTCCCTCTTCATAGGCCCCTACAACGGTTCGTTTCCATTGGGGGAACTGCCTCGTTGGAAAACAACAGTTTGAAGACCCTGAACCGTGCCAAAGCATGGTATTCGGGATTTCAAAGCCACATATCAACCTGGCTGCTGCGCCTTGACGATCCAGAACCGTGCCTGGACGCCATTTTAGGGATTTCAACGCAGCGAATCAACACAACCATTGCGTCCGCATAATCTTGAATCCTGTCAAAACGTCATGCTTGGCACGTTGTCTTGCAACTGTTATTTTTTTTAAATGTGCGCGGCGCTGGGACGAGAACCACATTTTGAAAACCACCCACCCTCCATCCGTGAAGCTCCTGCAAATGTTTAACACGAATGCGTGCGGCGGTGAAGCGAAAACCGCATTTTGAAAACCACCGTCCCTCATTCCGTGAAGCTCTTGCAAATGTTAACAACGAATGTGCGCGGAGCTCGGCCGAGAACCACATTTTGAAAACCACCCACCCTCAATCCGTGAAGCTCAGAAGCTCGGGCAAAGTTTAAAAACAAATGTGCGTGGCGTTAGAGGGGAGAGCCACAAGTTGAAAACCACCCGCCCTCAATCCGCGAAGCTCTCGCAAATGTTAAGAGCGAATGTGTGCGGAGCTAAGGCGAGAACCGCATTTTGAAAACCACCCGCCCTCAATCCGTGAAGCTCTTGCAAGAATAAGCACGGATGTGCGCGGCGCTAGGGCGACAACCACATTGTGAAAACGACCCGTCCTCCATCAGTGAAAATGTTGTCACGTGTTAAACTTCACAGTGGTACCCCGTGAGGAAGTCTGGGGCGAAACGCCTGGCCCGCCCTAAAAACTGGCCTCGGGGTAGGACAGGGATGAGTTATCTATAAGGAGAAGGAGTGGAGGAGGAGGAACAGGGGGAAGAGGAGGGAGCGGGGTGGAGGAGGATGAGGGAAAGGGATGGAGCAGGAAGGCCAGGCTGATCGCGAAGGGGAAAGAGAAGAGGAGCTTTCCGAGGAACACGAGGCGCAGGATGTGCAGGGAGATGGGGATGCCAGGGAGGTGGATCATAAGGGAGGGGGGCCATGGATCGCTTGCTTGCGTTAAAGGAAGAGGGTTCTTACACGTGCAGTGAAGAATTCGGTGCGCACGCTTGTGCGTGTGTAGCATTGTTGCGCCGTGGGCTCTCACCAAACATGTGTCAGCCCCAGTTGCCCCGTGCCTGGCCCAGGGCTCACCCCACGCCGAGCTCTCTGACTTTGGATGTGCTGCGGTCGTTGCGCCTGGGGGGGGGCCGACTATCGGGCCGTGGCCTTGGTTGCCTTGGCTGCGGGGGCGCGGGGACGGCGGCCGCGGTTGCCCGTGGAAGCCAGCACTCAAGGCCCAGGCCCAGGCTGCCCCAACCGTGGTGCTGCGGAGGCTGCGCGCGGGCTCCCAACTCTCCGGGGCTGGCTTCCCACAAGCAGTTCCTGCCACAGCTGCCCCAACTGTGGCCTGCGGTGCAGGTTCCGCGGTGGCTCCTCACGATGTCCACGAGGTCAGCGAACTTCGCGCATCGCACCCAGCGATGCGCGACACGCGGCTATCTTCGCGCCCTCGCGCCGCCGCCCTGCAGAAAACGACTCGCTAACCCAAGCCGTGATGAGCAATTACCCTCGGGTACCTAGGGGTGACCTAAGATCCAGGGCCCAGCTGTCGCGGTGGTTGGCCACAAGGTCTCGCTCAAAGGGGGCCCCCACCAAGTGCAAATCCTGTTCATGGCGGCGCCGGCCTGGTTCGCCCCAGCTGCGCGGATGCTGCGGCGTTTGCCCCTCTCGAGGAGGGTCTCGCAAAGGCTGCGTCTCACGACGCTGCTCTGCTGTCCAAACTCCGAACCGAACCAAGGAGGGGGAAGGAGATGGAGGAGAAAACGGAGAAACAACAAGAAAGAGCAAGAAAGGAGGAGACGGGCGAAGGAGGGAGGAACAAGGGGGAAGAGGGGGGCAGGATCCTGACCACTCCTCCTCCCCAGGCATCTGGCGATTCGATTGTTTTTGGATGCGTGGGCCCTGGACCTCTCGACCTCTTTCTAAAGGCTGGCTGTTTGTCCCCAGTCGTTCTGGGCGGTCCCGAACCCCGAACGCGGCGCCTTGCGGCGAACCAGCGCCCCGTCTTTTCAAGGCGCTAGATGTCTGGGTCCCCCTCCTCCGTCCCCCTCTCCCTGGGAATGAATAGCGCAGACAGGGAAGCCCAATCTGGTCCACGACCGGAGCCCCAGATCACCTTTTTCTGCAGCACTTCTCAAACCCCATCGATCCGTCAAAGCCCCACTTGGCTCCAAAACTTAAACCAAACGATCCGTCGTGTCAAACACTGCAACGTCAGGATCTTGTTGGGGGTTGCTCCTCCTCCTTATCGACATCTCTGAACTCCTCCTTTTCCTCCTCCTCTCTCCTCTCTTCTCCACCTCCAACAGTGTAATCATCCCTTTCCCTTTGCCTTCGCAGGGTGGATGTCGTCGTCGTCGTCGCCGATAGACGCTAAGAGGTAAAGGCTAAGCGACGCGTTGGCCACGAAGTCCGCGACGAACGATGTGCCTTTGAAAACCAGGTAGAGGACCTTTCCGACGAGAGAGGAGGGAAGGGAGCGGGGGCAAGGTTTTGCATTATTTTTCACCGAACAAGTGTTTGCACGTATGGGTTATGATTTCTTTCCCAAAAAAACTGGGCCTTGGCGGCGGTCCAGCGGTTCCGTGCTCGCCAATGCCGTTCCGTTGCCGCCTCGTTGCCGCCTGTCCTCTGGACCTGGGTGGCGGTCTGGCGGTTCCGTGCTCGCCGTCGCCGCCTCGTCGCTGCCCGTCGTCTGGGCCTAGTTAGCGGTCTGGCGGCTATATGCGCGCCGTCGCCGCCCCGATGCCCCCTCGCCGCCGCCCCATATAGATTCTCATTTCTACAACAATATGAGGATCCCCCCCCCCCGGATTGAACCGCCCCCTTTTTCGTATTGCAATTTGCAAGTTGTGTTGCTTCATCGTCCATCGAAAATATGAACTCGTACTATCCCAGCCAGGCCGCTATCAAACCCCCCTTCATCATCTGCACAAAAAACTACTTGTGCGCACTCGTGTATCAAAGTCATGAATTTCCCAGAATCCCATGCAAAAACCATGCCGAAGTGCACACGCGCGCGCGCACGCATGCCCAAATCCATTGAAAACCTCTGCTTTGGACTTCAAAATCGTATGTCCCAAAGACATACAACAACAAATGGCTTCGCAAAAAGAGCTTTCCCAAAGACCGTGTGCTCGGGTTCCTGCGACTTCCCTCACATCCTAAGTGGGGTTCTTGTTTTCTCTGCACACCTCCGCGCAGGATCGCCTCTTCTCTTCCACCCTTCTCTTCCCACCTCACCACCATCATCATCACAAGCGCTATCACAAGCACCATCATCAGTACACACACGTTCGTAATCAACAACACACTCTCGCACACACACGCACACACACCCGCACACACACCCTCTGTTCCAACCCATCACCAACACCATCACAATATCTAGAACATGCAGCATCATCACTATCATCACCAGCACACGCTCTCACACACGCACGCACATTCATCATCATCGTCATCATCATGTGCACACCTCCTCATCAGCGTCAGTATCACCATCGTCATCACCACTCATTCGCTAGCACACCGGTCGCAATGACCACCATCATCCTCATCGCCATCATCGTACACACACGCATCATCATCATCATCATCATCATCATCATCATCATCATCATCATCATCATCATCACCACCACCACCACCACCACCATCATCATCATCATCATCATCATCATCATCATCATCGTCATCATCATCATCATCATCATCATCATCCGCATCATCACCATTATCATCACCATCTGCACCACCATCATCACTATCATTCACCAACACCATCAATCAACCGCCACTCACCATCACTCACCATCACCATCACTATCACCACGCATTAATTCGTATCACCATCCCCTCGTGATCATCCACCAAGAGGGAGCCTCGTCTGTAAGTTAAGTGTGAAGAAATCTCCAGCGGAAGCCCCTTCCCTCTGGGTTCCGCACTTCATCTTGGTAATCCGACCGGGCCATCGGAAACCTGTATCTGTCGTCACGTGCCGGCTCCTCTGGATTGAAAAACGGAAGAAGTCTCAGGCGGGAGTTTCGTCTGTGAGTGAATTGCGGGGAAGTCGCAGGCGGGAACCTTCTCCCTACGTATGAGGTCCGCACTTGGTACTCCGAGCGGGTCATCGGCAACTCGTCGAAACTGTCGTCACCTTTTGGGCTCCTCTGGGCAAAAATATGGAACAACTCTCGGGCGGAAACTTCGTGCGTGCGTGACCCGCAAAGAAATCTCAAGCGGATCCCCCCCTTATAGGGTCCGCCTATCACGTGAATAATCCGAACGAGTCATCGGAAACTTCTGACTGTCATCACTTTTCGGCTGTGGATGGAAAGTGGAGGAAGTCGTCTCAGGCGGGAGTTCCGTGTGTGAGTGAATTGCGAGGAAATCTCAAGAAAGAGCCTCTTCCCTATGGGGTACGCATTTCGCGTTGGTAATCCGAACAAGTCCTCTGGACTAAATATGGAGGAGGTTTCAGGCGGGAGTTTCGTCTGTGAGTGAATTTCGAACAAATATCAAGCAACGCAAATCCTCGCACTTCATACTGGTGATCCGAAAGGCCGACGCAAACTTGTAACTGTTGTCAATTTGGGGCTCGTCTGGAGTGAATATGGACAATGTCTCACGCGGGAGCTTTGTCTGTGAGTGGATAGCGAAGAAATCTCAAGCACAAGCCCCCCCCCTTTTATGGGGCCCGCGCTTCACGCTGGTCATCCGAGCGGGTCATTGGTGAACTCTACCAGGCATTACGTACGAGCACACGAAAAGGGGCACATCACGAGGTGTTCCTCACGCGTCTATGAATCATTTGCAAGGAAAAACCAGGGGGACCCCCCTCCCTATGGGGCCCGCGCGTCGGTACACGGCGTAGTATATACACATATAGCTATACGACCACCCTTCGGGTGATAAGGAGATTCGGGGGGTGGGAGAAACCAACATTTCACTCGATCGGTCTCACGATCGATCTCACGATCCATCCCAGTATCGGTATCGCTCGATCGATCCCACTCGATCGATCTCACAATCGATCCCACCCGATCAATTTCATTCGATCGATCTCACAATCGATTTGACTAGCCATCTCACAATCGATATCACGACCGATATCACGATCGACCTCACAATCGATCTCACATTCGGTCTCACGATCGATCTCACAACCGATATCACAATCGATATCACAATCAACGTCTTCATTATCACCAACATCACCGTCATCAGCGTCACCAACATCAACATCATCATCCGGACACCATCACACCATCACCATCATCATCAACATCATCAGCATCACCATCATCATCTTCATCGGGGCACCATCATCGTCACCACCAGCATCATGAACATCATCACCATCGGGACACCATCATCATCACAAGCAGCATCGGAACACCACCGACTCCATCATCACAATCATCCCATCATCATCATCATCGCCAACACCATCAGCATCATCATCATCGCCGGGAAACCATCATCATCGTCCCCATCATCATCATCACCATCATCATCATCGGAACACCACCATCATCAACATCACCATCACCATCATCGGGCCACCATCATAAAAATCACCATCATCACCTCGTCCGCATCCCCATCATCAAAAACAGCATCAGCATCATCGGAACACCATCATCGTCATCACCATGATGGTCAACATTATCGTCATCATCATCCTCATCGGCACACCATCATCATCACCTTCGCCATCATCACCAGCATCATTCTCAAACTCATCATCACCATCATCATCGGGAAACCATTATCATCATCAACATCATCATCAGCATCACTCGTATCTCACCATCACATCATCAACAACATCATCAATCTCATCATCACCAGCATCAGCATCATCATCATCATCGGGACACCATCAGCATCATCAGCAGCAACATCAACATCACCAATATCATCATCGGGGCACCATCATCAACACCACCATGGCCACCATCATCACCATCATCACCAACGTCGCCAAAATCAACATCACTATCATCATCGGGACACCATCACCATTACCACCATCACCATCACCATCAACATCATCGACAACATCCTCATCATCATCATCATCATCATCATCATCATCATCATCATCATGTTCATCATCATCATTATCATCATCATCATCCTCGGGACACCGACGGGACACCGCGCCCCACCGGCCCCCGGAAAGGAACCATGCGGTCCGGCCGCGCCTCAGCGGGGGGCGGGGCACCGGCGGGGCACCGCGCCCCACCGGCCCCCGGAAAGGAAACAGTTGGTCTGGCCGCGCCTCAGCCGGAGGAGACTTTCTCCTCGCCCGCCCGCGCAGCTTCGACTCGCCCGCACGCACGGCACGCACGAACACGAAACCTTCCCGGTGGGGGGGGCTCTCCGTTCCACTTCGATCTATTCACCTCACCTCCGAGCGTGATCCACCGCTGTATATGTAGCCCCCCCCCCTCCCCCGGCACCACCCCCCCTATACAATTACACGATATGAAAATACTCTCCCACTTTCCCTGGTGGCGCCCCGAAGATGGCCGACCCCCCCGCGTATTGTTTTTTACACAGGATTCCCGGGAAACTTGTTTTTGCCTGCGTTTTTGTTTCTTTTCTTTTTTTGCCAAAATGCTGCTCTTGCTGAGGCGCCGGCCTCATTTCTGTTCCCGAATCGTTCCGAATCGTGCTCCCGCTGCAGCGTGGGCCTCATTTTCGGATCGGTGTTTGGCCTCCGTCGTTCAGGATGGCGTTCTCGCCCCAGCGCGGGCCTCTTTCTCGCGCGCCCATCCGCCCGCCACCACCGCGCCGCACCACCACCACCACCACCACCACCACCACCACCACCACCACCGCCACGACCACCACCAGCACCAGCACCAACACCACCATTCCCGTGCCATGCCACAGCACACGCGCACACACGCACACACACACACACACCACCACCACCACCACCACCACCACCACCACCACCACCACCACCACCACCACCACCACCACCACCACCACCACCACCACCACCACCACCACCACAACCAGCACCAGCACCAGCACCAGCACCAGCATCAGCACCAGCACCAGCACCAGCACCAGCACCAGCACCAGCACCAGCACCAGCACCAGCACCACCACAACCACCACAACCACGCACGCACGCACGCACGCGCACCACCACCCGCTACGCACGCGCGCGCGGAGCCACAGGTCCGCTACGACACGCGTCCGCGGATAGAGAAAATCAGCGCCATGGTAAGGGATGGGAGGGAGGGGTAGGACGTCAGATATGACGCGAGCGCACCTAGCTTGCCCCTAACCCCTCCCCCCCCCCCCTCCGCATCGAAAGCCGGAGGGGGCCACTACTGGTTCGAACCCCCCCCCCTCGAAAACCGGAGGGGGGGTCACTACCAGTTCGAACCCCTCCCCACCCCCCACCCCCCACACACACACACTCACCGG